CATTGCTTCGGTGATGCTATCTAACCATCTCATCCTCTGCCGTCCTCTTCTCCTTTTTCCTTCCATCTTTCCCAGCATCAGGGTCTTTTCCAGAGTCCTCTCTTCGCATTAGGTGACCACCAGAATGATGACAGACAGTATCAAAGACTACTGAGAGGTCTAGACCAGTGTTTCTCAACCTTGGCCACTTGAAGATGTGTGGACTTTAACTCCCAGAATTCCCCAGCCAGCACTTACTTTGTTCCATGAGTAAAAAGCTCTTATATGGAAAAGCAGAGAGGTGTTTCAGAAGCTTATTTTCTGTAAGCTTAACTGTAAGATGTGTGGACTTCAACTCCCAGAATTCCCCAGCCAGCATGGCTGGCAGGGGATTCTGGAAATTGAAGTACACACATCTTCAAGTGGCCAGGGTTGAGAAACACTGGTCTAGAAGAACAAAAATAGTTGCTCTCCCTCCAAACAAGCCCCTCCATGAGAATGACCATTGCACCTGCAGGAAAATGCTAGGAAGGGAAAAAAAAGTTTGATTAAAGAGATTGCTTATTTACACATGATCACTCATACAGTAGAAGAGGTCTTCTCTCAAATGGTAGATTTCTTGGAGGTCCGCACTTTACTCCAGCTGATGCTTTTAACTCTTTTTGTAACTTTCAGCAACCTCTTTAGCTTACAGAAAACATGTCTTATTCTTAAAAATCTCCAAGTTCCTGTTATTTCTTTGGCAGCCTAAAGACTTCCTATCAGTTTATTTATGTTCAGCTTTCCAGCAGACCAGATTTTTCTATTAAAGTTCTTTCATTAAACTGTTATAACCCCATGTTGTACATTTTTCTGCCTCTTGTGGATTTTCCCATCCATCTTCCATTCATGCTGTAACATGCTTAATAGAATATAGAAGCTGTGATAATAGAAATTAATAACTTTAATGACAGAAATTACAACAAACCAAATAACTACACAAACATTAATCAATATTGTATGTGTGATTCACCACAGCATGACAAGCCAAAACATACATTTATTTATTTATTTGATTGATTGATATGGCCACCCGTCTCAAACATATGATGCTGGGCAGGTAATGGAATAAAAACAAATTAAAAATATTATAACTGAATGTACCTTCCTCTGTTTTTTGTTTTATATTTATAGTTTTTAATTGTTCTAATTTTTTAATGGTTCTGTTTTAATGGTTTTAATTGTTTCTGGTTTCTTTTTAATTCCGTGCGCTGCCAGAGTGACATAAGTGAATGAGGGGCTATATAAATTCAATAAGCAAATGACAAAACAATAAGTAACAAATACAGCAGCCAAAATAAAACTAAACACTACAATCAACACAACCATGATACGGGCTTAACCACACACCCCAGGCCCCAGACTTATTATTTTGGCTTTGGATATTGAGTTAGCTCTTGTGTTTATATACTGTATCATGGTTAATGGGACTCACAAACAATTATGCCTTTTAATAAAATTTGTTAGTCAGAAAAGGTGCTATGAGATTCCTGATTTTTGGCCACCATAGGCTAATATGACTCTCCTTGTATTAAGTCCAGAAAATGGCTTTAATCAGTGTCTTTTTTAATATATAATTTTTATTAAAGAAGTTTTTCCACAGAGTAAAAACAATACAATTTTTGAGTTAAAGATAAGAGAAATGTTATCTGAATGATAGTGTCTGAATGAAAGTCAACAACTACCTCCCATATATTATTAACTTAAGTTCATAAAAGGAAATAACTGAATTAAATTAATAATTTTATTCAGAAAATACTATTTTTTCTTATTTTCCAGGCTCTTAAAAACCAGTATCTTTAGTAAGACTGATCATTTAGTCCTAAATACAAATATTTTTCCTATTTAGTAGCCTATACTTTTGAGAACCAGTATATTTGATAAAACTATTCTTATAGACTGTTTGCACATCATACTAGTCACAGTTAAATTAACCAGTTATTAAATTAAGTTATTAAGTAATATTAACTTATTACATCAGTTGGCTGGGTTAAACAGGGTACACTGCTGTCAACCACAGTTTACACATTACATTGGTTCTATTCATGTAGCATTCTAAGCCAAAATCAAATATACCACATTATGGCTTAACCTCATGTGTGCACCCAGTCATGAGAAGGATCAGGACACAGAATTTATTTCCATATTTCAAATTTCTCAAGTAATATGAGCTACTAAGATCCTTCAGAAATACTGCAACAGCTTTGCTACTGCCTGTCTTATTCCTCTATCTTGATCCATGTACTTCTCCACTATCTACAATAAGCCTGTCTTGTCTGCACTAAATTTTAGCTTTTCAATCTGCACCTATCCCCAAATCACTTCCATCTACATACAGGTAGTCCCCAGTTTAAGAACAAGTTCCGTTCCCAAGGTCTGTTCTTAAGTCGAATTTGTATGTAAGCCAGAACAGTATTATTGTATAATACTGTATAAGTAGTATTGTGTAATTAACTCGAATCACTATGTATTTAACTCACATTTTGCTACAATAGGCTCCATCCTTAACTATGGGTTGTCTGTAAACTGAGCGTTCTTAACTTGAGGACTACCTGTATTATGGAATTCTATAGCCTACGTTGGTTAGTTGTAGAAAATAAGTGGAGCGGTGTGTTATCTACCTGCTGGTGGTATTACAACTCAAATCTCTTAATCTAGTTATTTTGTACAGATGTTAAAAAGCATAGGGAACAAGATGAAAGCTTACGGGGCTTAATAACCAAAGGCCATATCTTAAGTGGAAACTTCCCAATTACTAACCCCTGGAGTCAATCTGCTGTGCAGTAGTAATGTTGTGGCCACCCCACCAAAATAGCACCCCTACGGAACCCAGTAAGATAACATAGTATATGGTGTTGAAACCTTCTGAAAGTTCCAGGAGAGCTAATCTGGCTGGATCCCCCCTGTCTCTTATCCCTTGGTGAAGTCAAACACCATGGCAAGCAAAGCTGTTTTGGTCCCAAAACCTAGATCCACACTGGAATTGATCCAAGTACAGTGGTGCCTTGGGTTACGAACGCCTCTGTTAACGAACTTTTCAGGTTACAACCAGCTCCGGCCGCAAAAATTTACCTCGGTTTGCGAACTCCGCCTCAGGGTACGAACAGGATATGCGGCCATTTCCCCTCCCGTGACACGGTCTGCGGCCATTTTTCCGCCCCTGACACGTGGTCCATGGCCATTTTCCGCCCCTGACACATGGTCTGCGGCCATTTTTCCGCCCCTGACACGTGGTCCATGGCCATTTTCCGCCCCTGACACATGGTCTGCGGCCATTTTTCCGCCCCTGACACGTGGTCCATGGCCATTTTCCGCCCCTGACACATGGTCTGCGGCCATTTTTCCGCCCCTGACACGTGGTCCATGGCCATTTTCCGCCCCTGACACATGGTCTGCGGCCATTTTTCCGCCCCTGACACGTGGTCCGTGGGCATTTTCTGCCCCTGACATGTGGTCCGTGGCCATTTTTCTGCCCCTGACACGTGGTCCATGGCCATTTTCTGCCCCTGACACATGGTCTGCGGCCATTTTTCCGCCCCTGACACGTGGTCCGTGGGCATTTTCTGCCCCTGACACATGGTCTGCGGCCATTTTTCCGCCCCTGACACGTGGTCCGGGGGCGTTTTCTGCCCCTGACATGTGGTCCGTGGCCATTTTTCTGCCCC